GATTAGAGAAATGATACTCAAAAAACCTTTTGCTAATGTAATCCCTGAGAGAAGTTTAGAAGACTATGTTCGCTTTTACATTTTAAGATAGCATCTAAAATTTTTATTTAAAAGATTAAGTAATTGCAGAGGGCATAATTTCTGGCATTTTATAAATAATGAAATTTTAAATTAAACATCACTCTGTTAGATGTATCGAATGGAATCTAAATACTATAATAATAAAAATCCATTTTTAAAAATACATTAACATGTTACCATTGAGAGAAACTGGGCAAATGGTAAGCAAGATCTCTCTGTATTATTTCTTACAACTCCATGTGAGTCTTTAATTGTCTTGAAATAAAAAGTTTCATTAAAGGAAATAAAATTCTGCTCTATATTAAAATACATGAATAAGATCTTTAACAGTTAGAAATTTTATATCAGTCTTTTCCCATACAATTTTATTTTATAGTATTATGTTTTTATATAATCTTATATCACACTATCATAATTCTCTGCAACAAAATATGTAAGTTGGAATTTAAAACTTTTTTATTATCTCTGACCCAGAAGCTTTAACCATAAAATTTTTTCTCATTTAAGTTATTGTAATTACTATTTCTATAGAGTTGATCAACATGTTATAAATTTTATTAAGAAATTATTAAACAAATTTTATTAAAAATGTGTCTTAAGATGAATGAGGCTTTTAAAAATAGTTTATTTCATAGATGATTTTTTTTTTGGAATGAGACAGAGTTTATCATCGAGTCTGTTTTTTATTTTCTTTTCACCTCTTCCATCCTCTCACCTTAGTTAGAGGAGACTTCCTGATAGCAGTTTTTCACCAGAATTGTCCCTTTATTTGGTACCATGGAAGATTTTATACCTTAGGAAAGTATAACCTAGAGTTGATTTTGTTCCCAAACTTTTACTAGTATATTAGTTAAACAGAGTATTTTTAAGCAAAAAAGTAACAAGCTCAATTAATAGTTATTCACTAAATCTTAGTAAAGTCTTTTGGTTGTATTTCCTGGAAGTATACCATAGTAAGGAGAGAGGGCATGCTTTTCTTTTATAAACTGTTGGGGGAGTGATTGAATGGAGAGAATGATGAAAAGGATAAAATATTTGCCATAGGAGCCTTTTTATGTAGATCATCTTAGAAGAATGCCTTTATTGAGAGGTTGTGCTGAAAATTGATTCACTAAAATTTTCCATATCTGCATATCTCTTTAAGGGCCCTTGTGTACCCCCAAGAGCCCATGAGTATATATTCCTTAGCTTGAGGAGTTAGTGGAATTTGGTTGTGTGGTTACTGGTTCATTAATTCAATAAATAATTTTTCATTATTTATTTGCTGGAGTACTGTTTTTATATCTTCCAGTTGCTTGGTAAATATACTAATTGAATTGAAATATTTATTGAATTTATCTATTAGTTAGAAATCTGAGCTAGTCCCATAAATGTGTTTTTTAATTCTACAAAGTAGATGAAATAGTAGTTAAGTGGACGTTAGGTGGCTTGCCATGAAACCTAACTATTTGAAATATTCTTTTGATAGGAAATGCAATCTTTGTAGAAAGTGGTACATATAGCATTTTTAGGAATGGGCAAGGCTCTGTTCTTCCTATGATTGATGAAAGACAACCATACATAAACACCCCCCTCTTTTCTGTAAGGGTGTGTCCTTATAGTTCAAAAAAGTTACAAAGAAAGCCTGTGATTTTTTTTCTTTTAGATATATAAATGTATTTTCTGTCAATTTCAGAAAATTTGGAGTAATCTAAAGAGATATATTCTATCTTGTGCTAGGGATAAGGTGGGACATAGATGAGATAGCATCATGAGCATAACTCATCCGAGAATAGATGCGATAATTTTATCACTACGTTAAGCAAAGAGAGGGATAAAGGAAGACAAAATGAAGAGAAATGAAAGAGTACTAACATTTATTAAGGCTCTGCTATTACATAATTGAATTCATTTGTACATGTTTCATTTACGATAATTATGGATATGGGGGAAATATTGCTTATGGAAGACTTAATGGAAATACAGAGCAAAAAGGAAATAATTTGATTTGTACATTGTGCATGATATTAGGGGGCAAGAAAGATGTGGAAAGATGTTGCTCCTTTGGCCACTAGATGGTGACATTGTATAAAGGCAGCTTGGTTGCTGGCAAGTAAGAGTCAAAACTTGGAGGGAGGATAGATAACTATATTTAACAATTAAGCCCAATAATATCACTTAATTTTTAAAAAAATATTATTCACTCAGCTTTGCAGCACATTTATGGTGATTTTATTGAATTTCTTTTAGATTTTTAATTTACACTGTGTACTCTACCCTGAAGTATTTTATGAATACCTCTATGTCCCTGACATATTTAGTGATGATAAACTGCAGATGATAAGCATGTACTCAGAGGAAAAAATGCCCCCTGCCCTCCAAAAAATTCACATACCAAAACAAAATAACTGATATACATGATGCATGTAAAAAACCTGCTGGAAAATTATTAAGCAAAATAAAAATTTAAATGTTTGTACTGCATTTACTTCTTTACTGCTTATGACTGTTAACTCTAAAAATAAAACTGTCAGTTATTTTACCAGCAAATGGGCTTATTCTGTAATAACAGAATTGCAATTTGGGACAAGTAAGCTGTGGCAAAACCACACACAAGTCCAGAGAACAAAGGAGAGAAACACTCTTTTATAGAGAAAGGGGGGGGAGTTGAGAAGGGCTGTTACAAACAAAAAGTTCATTGGAATAACCTGGGAGTTCAGAGTATAGTGGCTCATTATTGGCTGAATTGCAACAGTCTCTCGTTGGCTGGGCTATTGCTGGGCAAGGAGAAAACTTTTCTTTCTCCTGCTAGGGTGGTAAAGTAGTAAGGACTTGCATGGTTCCTCTCTTCCTGTTGGTTCTGTAATTGGTGACAAGTGGTAGGGCATGAGAGCACCCCCTTCTGGCCTCCTGACTCCATTTTAGTGAGATTTCCCTTTACTAATTTTCAGTGACATAGGTATACATGAACATTCGGGATTCAGGGAGAGGGACCACTCAGAAAGTTCTCTCATCTATGAATAGCCCTTACATATTACCTATTATTCCCAAGTCAGAATTCTGAAAGCACTTTTTCATAGAAATAGTGTATTTTGTCATAGTTAAATGTAGCTAAAGTGGTATTATATGCAGGCTTAATTTTTTTAAATTAAAGTATCATTGATATAAAATCTTATTAAGGTTTCACATGAACAACATTGTCGTTTCAACATTCACCCATATTAAGTCCTCACCCCGCTGCTTCCATTGCAGTCAGTGTAGTAAGCTGCTACAGGGTCATTGCTTCTCTTCTCTGTGCTGTACTGGCCAGCTTAATTTTAATGATCAGACTTCTTTTTGGGGTTTTGGCCTCAGACTTCTCTGAGAGTTTTCTTTCAGAGTAAGTGATCTGGAAAAGCATTTTTTCTTCTACAAAATGGATGTTTTCAAGAGACCATATATTCCTTTTAAACATGATTCCTTTCTGGAAACCTGCCTCATTTTCTCCAGTTTGAAGCACTGTTTCTCTTCCATACTCTTATAGACCCTTTTAAGATTCAGTTTTACCTTATGTTAATGGTGTATAGATTTTATCATCCCAGCTCTAATATACATGTATTGAATGCAAAGTTTCTTGCTTATCCTTGTTATCTGTTATCAACAGAATCATGCCCAGTGCCTTGCATGAAGTAGGTGCTCAATTAATTACATAAACTACATAAGGAAAGTTTGGATGGTTAATGCCAAAGTAGTGTATTTTAAGTTAGTTATCTCTGGCTAGCAATAACTTTTTATAGGGTACTAAAATTGGCTTTTAAGATAGAACCTCTACTGTGGCCAGGTGCTTTAATTTCTGATGAATGGGAGCTATGGCCTTGTGGGTTATAAAATACAATAGTTATAATTTTTGGAACTCAAATTGCATTCTTTTATGCCTGTCCAAAAAATGCAGCCCATATATAGAACAGTTTCACTGTTAATATTCCAAATTACTGATCCTTTTGGGAGTCACTGATTCTTTAGAGCATCTCATTGATACCTGTCCCCCTTCCCCACAACACTACATTCAGAAAAACGCATGTGCATTTACACAGATAATTCTGTATACTATTTTAGAAAACTCATAGCCCTCATAATAAGAACTTCTGCTTTGGCTTCTGAAATAGACTACAGCTTATTAGTTAAGGTGTAGCTTGATATAATAGAGAAATGTACTATATAAAAAAATCAGTTGATGTGAGCTAGTCCTAGCTCTTGTTATACCTTTGATAAATGTGATACTATGCTGCAGGTCATACAATCTCTCCTTACCTATTTCTGTGTCTGTGAAGTGAAGTTGTTGGGTAAGAGTAAATGAATTCAGTACACTGACACACTTAGAATAGTGCAGGGTACGTAGTATGCTTCCTAGTTTTTGTTCTCAGTCTTTGTATCTATTATCCTATGAGGGATTTATGAATTTTATGATGCTGTAATTATATTTCACTTAAGAAAATGACTTTAGTATGTGTGCATTTAGCAATCAAATTATTCTGTAAAACAAGTAGTCAGTTGTGTCCTGATCTTTTGATACCTCTGTACAGATGATAGTAAATGACCTTCCTACTGCAGGGCTATGGTTGAAAATTCTGGGTCAGAGGAAATATGTGCCTGTCAGTGTATAAAAGTAAATGGGGAGAGAACGAGCACTGAGAACATGTACTCAAAATTTTATATTAGTGTACTGGTGTAACTTGTTAAAGCAGGTGAAGCTTTTCCATACAGTTATAGTTGCTAAGAACTTTAATCTTTTCAGAGGTTGAATATATTATGTCTTATTGAAAATCCATTATTGTTCATGTAAAATTCTTTATAAAAATGGAGATTACATTAATGTTTATCAGCAGCAAACCAGTTGCATTAAAAGCATATAACTTTTTTGTATTTTCTAATAAGACATTTTTTATTTTTACTTTAATTAGGGAAGAAGATAAAAACATATTTGACTACTGCAGAGAAAACAACATTGACCATATAACCAAAGTCATAAAATCAAAAAATGTGGATGTGAATATGAAAGATGAAGAGGTATGAAAAATATGCCCTGCTAATTATTTTCTTATAATTTGTTATTCTGCCCAAGTGCTTATTTCTAAATGACAGGCCTAAGAACTACAACTCAAAGTACAGTACGGTTAAGAGTATATCAGAGTGAATGAGGTGGTATCACTCCGCTAAGATACTTTCTGTATCTGTAGCCATCATATAAGCTCACTATACAGGCTAGCCCTTAATATTACCTTACATTTAGGCCACAACTTCCCTGTAATATATTATCAAAGACATCTGGAACTGAAAATGTAAGACTATAATTCTACAGTAAAGGGGGACCAGTAATACTGTTTGTTTTTCCCTAAGTATTGAAACAAACAGAGCCAGGAAGGATGTAGCTAGAGAAAAGTAGAAGTCATATTATAAAATAATAAAACCAGACCTTCTGATTCCAACTAGGTTTCTTTTTTGCCTTTCAGAATCGGAACACATTTTTTAGTAAATCAAACATGATTGCTTCCCTTCGTTTATTGGTTTTTTATTTTTGTACTCTAAAGAATTTGTAAAATTAATATGTGTACATGGTTCAAAGAAAATCAAGTAGTTCTATAAGTCTTAGAAAAAGTACTCCCTTCCTGCATCCTTCTCACATTTGATTCTAGCTCCCTTGAGGCAAAAACCCTTAATGCTTTTAGTTGTTTCTTTGGCATTTTCCCTGCATAATTTTAAATACTGTACTTATATCTCTTGTTTTCCAATTCTAGACATTATTAACTTCTTTGTATATTAGGATTTAGCTCTTGTATTGATCTTTCCCACTATCTTTCATATAGTATATACCAATTTTTAGTTCCAGCTTTCTGACTGAATCTTTATCAAAGTAATGTTTTTATTATAATTATCATAAAATTAACAATATAGTATAATTAATATAATATGGTTATGATGTAATTACATTATTATGACTACGTAAGTATCATTCATTGCTGAACTGTGCATGGTACTGTGTGTATCAGTCAGCTTTTGCTGTAGAAACAACCCCTACATTTCAGTGGCTAACAACAGCACTTCTTATTCATATTTAAGGGGTTTGGGGTCAGTTGAAGCTCTTCTGGGTTCTGCTAGCCTTGTTTGGGCCCAGTTCATCTTGATTTGATGTGCCTTTCGTACTGAGATCCGATCTCAATGGATAGATACTGTCTGTTGGCAGAAACTAAAGACGGGTAGAAGCAGATCCCACAAATACATTTATGCTTTGCTTGGATGTGGCCTGTGTCACATTCTCTCACATTCCTTTGGACAAAACAAGTCACAAGGACAAGCATCAAGTCAGTATGGTAGGAAGTCTACTCTGATTATCGGGAAGTAAGGCAAGGCTGGAAAGGGAATGAATAATTATATAGTTAAGAGTAATATAATCTATATTCCATGGTACAATATTTTATAGTATATTAATCTTAAGATTAATAATTACCTCTTTTTTGTTTTTACATTTTCTTAATCTTCTATGTTCCTGTTATTAATTCTTCCTTCAAATTTCCCAACAAGTTTTCTCAGTGCCGTCAAACACAGCAGGTAATCAGGCCCATAGTTTGTTTTTCAGCAATATCCCTTCTGGACCCTCCTTTGCTCTTCATCCCTAATCTGAGCTGGTTGCTCTCTAGGCTTGTTGTGTAAATGTCATCCTGAGATTACACTTGACCACTGTCCTAGGAATTCTCTCCCCTTTCTCCTGGATTCTAATGCTTTCTGGGTCCCAGGTCTTTATATTTTATTGTTTATTTCCCTGTTTTGATGGAGTGTCTCCTCTTGTAGCTTCCTGAGAAAGGTAAATGTTTTGAGATCTTCTTTGTCAAAAATATTTCTATCATAGTTCTTGGCATATTCCACATACTCAGTATTTGATGAATGAATGAATGATTGAATAAATGAATAAGCAGAAGCAGTATAATATAATAGTGATGAGCTGGACTACATGGGTGCAAGTCCTAGCACTGTCACTTTCTAACTATATGTCCTTTGTCAAGTTTATTCTGTGTCTCAGTTTTCTAATATGTAATTGGGGATAACAGTACCTGTGTCAAGACTGGTTTGAGGATTAAATGAGTATAATATATATAAAGCATTTAAATAATACCTGATACATACACAGTAAGCACTTAATAAATTTTAGCTATCTTTATTATTCTTAATGATTAATATGAATGAAGAGTGCTGATATATAGAATGAAGAAGCCATTTAATATTTTTCAAGACAATATTTTTAGATCAGTTTTAGGTTTACAGTAAAATTGAGAGGAAGGTGCAGAGATTTCCCATATACCCCAATTCCCCATATGTATATAGCCTCCCCCCTTATCAACATCAGCCACCAGAATGTACAGTTGTTACCAAGGATGATCCCATATTAACACATCATAATTATCCAAGGTCCATAGCTTACATTAGGGTTCACTCTTGGTTTTCTGTCATTTTTTTACAGACATTGGTTTAATCATACATTTTATGATTTTAGACAAATGTACAATGATTATAATAGAAAATATTTTCACTGCCCTAAAGATCCTGTGTCCTGCCTGTTCATACTCCTCTCCCCGCTGCAATCACTAATCTTTTTATTTTCTCCATAGTTTTGCCTTTTCTAGAGTGTCAGTCATATAGTTGAAATCATACAGTATATAGCATAACCCAGGTCCACTTTCCAGGAACATAATAGCACTTCGTGGGCAGTGTATCTTTTTTTTTCAATCATAATCTTAATGTTTAATATTTAAAATTTTTTATTTTCTAAAATTAATACATTTTTATTTTTCAAAATTTAAATAGTCCAAAAGGCATACAGTGAAAGGACTTTCTTACTTTCTTTTTATTAAAGTATCATTGATATACAGTCTTATGATGGTTTCACATAAACAACACAGTGGTTTCAACATTCACCCATATTATCAAGTCTTCACCCCCTCTACTGTGGTCACTGTCTATCAACATACTCAGACGTTATAGTCATTACTTGTCTTCTCTGTGCTGTAGCATGGGCCGTACATCTCATAATAACAGAATAACTCTAATTCCTCCCTCCTATCCCTTGTATCACTGTTATTACTTATTTCACTTTTTTGTATAAGCTACATAATATATATATGTATATGTGTGTATATTATATACATATACATAAAATATATATATTTATATAAGATACATGGACATATATAATCAAATACTTTGTTGCTATTATTTTGAAAAAACTATGTTATATCAATGAAAAATAAGACGAATGTTTTTATTTTACCTTCAGTTATTCCTTCTCCTGTGTTCTTCCTTTCTTTATGTATATCCAAGTTTCTGACCTATATTTTTTTCCTTCTCTTTAAAGAACAACTTTTTGTAAAGCAGGTCTACTGGCAACTAATTCCATCAGTTTTTGTTTGTCTGAGAATGTCTTTCTCTCACGTTTGAAGGATAATTTCTCAGGATTCAGAATTCTAGGTTGGTGGGTTTTTTTCCCCCAACACTTTAAATATTTCATTCTACTTTCTTCTTGCTTGCATAGTTTCTGAGAAGTCAGATATATATTGTCCCTCTGTAAGGTATTTTTTTCCTCTGCTTTCTTTCCAGATTTTTTTCTTATCTTTGATGCTCTTTAATTTGAAAATGATATGCCTAGGCGTAGTCTGTTTTTGGACATTTATCCTGCTCTGTGTTCTCTGAGTTTCCTGGATCTGTGACTTGGTGCCTAGCATTGATTTTGTGAAATTCAGTGTTTATCCTAGTCAACCCTTTGGTAGGCCTTGTAATTTTTACTGATAGCTGGACATGATATTCTGGGTAAAAGGAACTGCTGTAAATGGGCCCATAGTAATGTGGTGGTGAGGTGTGGCGGGAGAGGGAAGGCTCTGTAGTCCTACAATTAGGCCTCTGCCTTTTAGTGAGCCTATACTTCTGGACTGTGAGCTTCACAAGTGGTTCTCCATTTCTTGTCTTTCCCGTAGATGGAACAGGGTGGCTGGAGTGGGCCGAGTTGGGTACTTCCCTTCCTCCAGGTCAACTGGGCTCTGATAAAACTCTGGCAGGTCAGACTCTGATTGACTAGTTTCCTGTGAGGGACAGGCCTTGTTAAGAACAAAGTACTCTGGCATATTTCAGAATTGTTCATCCCCACTTCCCTTGCCAAAAGCCCAAGGGACTTTTTCTCTGGTATTTACTATGGGAAACAGTTCAAGCCCCTGGAGCTAATTCTCACCATGTTGTGGGGCCTCCCTATGACCAGATCCCCCTGGAGTTTTTAATTTTCAGAGCTGTCTACACTGAGCCTCCAGAAATTCATCAATTACAGTTAGGTTTTCCTGCCTGTAGGTTTTCCTGCCCTGGGCAGTTTATCCTTGTGAGGCTTTGCTCCAGGAAGTCAAGTTCACCTGTTTCTCTCTTGTCTCGGGGGCAACAGTTTCTCCTCTCTTAGAGACCCAAGAAGAATAGTGGATTTTTCTGTCTGTTGAGCTTTTTGCTTGTTGTTAAGATGGAGTGGCAAATTCCGAGCTCCTTACATACGGAACTGGAAACCAGAAGTCCACTTAACTTTTAAAGGTCACCTTTTCACTGGAAAGTATTGTATATTTACTATATGATCCCTATTAGAATTTTCTGCTTTCAAATACTACTTTATATATTGTTTGTGTTTTACTTTCACTCATTACCATACTGTCTTCACAACAATCCTTTTAGGTAGATGTTACCCTCACTTCACAGGCAGGAAGATATACACACTGTTTGCTCAAATATAAACCCTGCTAAATGGAAATGCAGGCCTGAGAGAGTGTTCTTTGCACCACTGGATTTAAGAAGGCTAATTTCCAGTTGGCCCTGCTAGTGTATGCTCTGATTTGCAACAGGTGTTTTTATAAAATAGTACTAAAAGTCATTCCACACAGGACCTTTGCAAAGATAGTGTGATAGGGATAAAAGACAGCAGTGATAGGGATAAAATAAATGTCTGGAACACAAATAGCTTACACTAAATAATGCAATTTTTTGTGAAAATA